AGCCCAGGAGTTGGAGGTTGCTGTGAGCTATAATGCCACGGCACTCTACCCAGGGGGACAGCTTGAGGCTCTGTCTAAAAAAAAAAAAAAAAAATGGAATAATAGGCTCAGTGCCTATAGTCAGTGGCTAAGGTGTAAGCCACATACACCAAAGCTGGTGGGTTCAAATCCAGCCCGGGCCTGCCAAACAATGACAACTACAACCAAAAAACAGCCAGGCACTGCCCTGGGTTCCTGTAGTCCCAGCTACTTGGGAGGCTGAGGCAAGAGAATTGCTTAAGCCCAAGAGTTTGAGGTTGCTGTGAGAGTGGCACCATGGTACTCTACTGAGGGCAACAAAGTGAGACTCTGTCTCAAAAAAAAGAAAAAAAAAGAAAAAACCAGAATAATATTCAACTGTAGGCATGCAGGCATACAGTATATTTTGTCCATTCATCTGTCAATAGATGCTTGGGGTGCTTCCACTTTTGGCTTTTGTAAGTAATGTTGCTGTGTATGTAGTTTTGCGTTCAATTCTTTGGGGTATATAAACAGAAGCAGAATTTACGGATCACATGGTAATACTATATTTAATTTTTTCTTGTTTTTTTGAGCAAGAGTCTCACTTTGTCACCCTTGGTAGAGTGCTGCGGCATCACAGCTCACAGCAACCTCAAGCTCTTGAGCTCAAGCGATCCTTTGCCTCAGCCTCCGAAATAGCTGGGACTGCAGGTACCTGCCACAAAGCCCAGCTATTTGTAGAGATGAGGTCTTACTCTTTCTTAATCAGGCTGGTTGTGAGCTCAAGCAATCCACCCGCCTCGGCCTCCCAGAGCACTATGATTAGTGGCATGAACCACCGTACCCTTTCTCTATGTTTAATTTTTTTGAGGAACTACCATACTGTTTTCCATAGTGGCTACAGCATTTCACATTGTACAAAGGTTCTAATTTCTCTACCTCTTCATCAACACCTGTCATCTTCTGGGGTTTTTCGTTTTATTTTTTAATAGTAGCCATCCTAAGGGGTGTGAAGAGTTATCTCTTTGTTGTCAAAACTTTTTCTTTATTTAGGGACAGACTCTCCCTATGTTGTCTAGGCTGGCCTCAAACTTCTAGGCTCATGTGATCCTCAAGGCTCAGCCTTTAAAGTAGCTGGGATTATAGTACATGCCACTGTGCCCAATGAACACTTATGTTTAAGTTTATAACTTTACCAAAGCACTAGACAATTTGAAAAATACACACAAATCAACACTAGTCAATTAATCTTCATTAAAAACAAAACCCAGGCCAGGTACAGTAGTTTATGCCTATAATCCTACCCTCTGCAAGGCTGAGGGGTGTAGATTACCTGAGCTAATGGTTCAAGACCACCCTGAGCAAGAGCGAAACCCCATCTCTAAAAACAGCTAAGGAAAAATGAGATTAGAGAAGGGAAGTGACATCTTGGCACCTGTAGTATAGTGGTTATGGCACCAGCCACATACACCAAAGGTGGCAGGTTCGAGCCCGTCCTGGGCCAGCTAAGCAACAATGACAACTGCAACAAAAAAACCCCCAGGCCTTGTGGTGGATGCCTATAGTCCCAGCTACTTGGGAGGTTGAGGCAACAGAATCACTTGACCTCAAGAGCTCGAGGTTGCTATAAACTATGACGTCACAACACTCTACTAAGGAAGACACAGTGAGACTCTATCTCAAAAAAAAAAAAAGAAAAACCCATAAAACCCTATGAATTGGCTTGGCACCTATAGCTCAGAGGCTAGGGCGCCAGCCACATACACCAGGCCTGCTGGGTTTGAACCTGGCCCGGGCCTGCTAAACAACAGTGACAACTACAACAAAAAAATAGCCAGGCATTCTGGCAAGTACCTGTAGTCCCAGCTCCTTGGGAGGCTGAGGCAAGAGAATTGTTTAAGCCCAAGAGTTTGAGGTTGCTGTGAGCTGTGATGCCATAGCACTCTACCGAGGGTGATATAGTGAGACTCTGTCTCAAAAAAACCCCTATAAAATAATTCATGTTTAGTATTTAACTCTACTGCCAAACAAAAATAACATTTTATGGATAATATGAATGTTTTGATAAAGTTACTATAAACTGATAGTGACAAAACTTATATTCTGAAAACTAGAAAAATATTATAAACAGAAGCTAGAGATCTAAATAAGTGGAAAAATATCCCAAGCTTGTGGATCAGAAGTCTTAATACTGCTAAAAGAGCAGTACTTCCCAATATTACCTTTAGAGCCAACATAATCCTTATCAGAATCCCAGCTGATTTCTTTGTAGGAACTGACAAGCTGATTCTAAAACTCATATGGTGGCCAGGCGCAGTGGCTCACATCTGTAATCCTAGCACTCTAGGAGGCTCAGGTGGGTGGGTTGCTTGAGATCAGAAGTTTTCATTTCTTTCTTTCTTTCTTTCTTTTTTTTTTTGGAGACAAGAGTCTCAAGCTGTCACCCTGGGAAGAGTGCTGGGGTGTCACAGCTCACAGCAACCTTTAACTCTTAAGCGATTCTCTTGCCTCAGTCTTCCAAGTAGCTAGGATTGCAGCCATCTGCCACAACACCCAGCTATTTTTTGGTTGTAGTTGTCATTGTCGTTTGGCAGGCCCGGGCTGGATTCAAACCCACCAGCTCCAGTGTATCTGGCTGGCTCCCTAGCTGCTTGAACTATAATCCACCCGACTGAGCCTCTAGAGTGCTAGGATTATAAGCGGGGTGCAGTGGCACCTAGCCACCATATGAGTTTTAGAATCAGCTTGTGCCAAGCCAGAGATCAGAAGTTTGAGACAGATCAGCCTGAACAAGAGTGAGACCCCATCTCTAAAAAATAGCCAGTCATTGTAGCAGGTACCTATAACCCCAGCTACTCTGGGGGCTGAGGCAAGAGGATCACTTGAGTCTAAGAATGTGAGGTTGCTATGAGCTAGGTGTCAAAGTAAGACTGTCTCGGCTCGGCTCAGCGCCTATAGCTCAACTGGCTAAGGCGCCAACCACGTACACCTAAAGTGGCGGGTTC